AAATATGCTGTTACAAAGATTTGAAAAGCACCGCCCAAGTATTGCTTTTTTTGTTAACCATGAAGTCTTGCCTTGTTATAATAAGTATAAAAGATCACCTCACCCTTAGGGGGGGGGCCATTTTGCCTTTTGCTGGCTTTATGGTCTTTGCTCGAGCAAATAAACAGCTGTCTTTCTTTACCCGCGTTGTCTGTCAATCAAATTACAGCTAGACAACGAACCTTAGGGAGATTTCTCCCCCAACAACGGAACAAAACGGAATAGCCGTTTTGACTCAAAACAAAAGTCAAAATGAAACACTGTTCTGTTGAAATGTCAAAATGCTGGTCGAAACAAAAAGCTTCCGTTTCACACAGCCCTATAGAGAATGCTACTAACTAAACCTCAGGAATCCTTTGTCGTGGAAACACACGCAGCATACTTTTGGGTCAGGTCAGCAGAAGCTTTTATTTAAAAGAAACTACAGCTGTAGGGGGGACTCCAAAGTGACATGGATTTCGCAAGCACTTGGAAGGGGTCCCCCCCAAGAGCAAAATCAGGAGGCTTATATACTTTTTAACAGTTGCTTACAACTCACGTGATCATATAGTGAAATTAGCATGAAAAGCGGCTATAATATTACTTCATTATTTCTTTGCTGTAATCAGGATGGGAACTAATGGGGGAGGCGAGGTTAGTTCACAAACCTCCTTCTTGCACCTGCAAATCAGAGTTGTACATACTTTTTGCTATCTTCAAGGCCGCGGTGAGCGAAGCAGTTGCAGAGGAGTTACAAAGAACAAACACTTTCTCTTATCTGTTCTACTATACAGAGCCAGCAATTCTCCACAAAGCGGTTATGTCATCTTATAACTAAAATAGTCAAAGTTTAAGGCATATATTTTTTCTGATTCCACAGCAGGAAAGGCAATTGGGGTTAGGTGACCCCAGCAAGGTGACCATCCAATTTCCTCTTGAAGATTTCCAGGGTAGGTGATTGCACCACCTCTTGATGGAGTTTATTCCACAGTCTGGACACCCTGACTGTGAAGAAGTTTTTCCTAGTGTTCAGCCTGAAATGGCCACAAACTCCAGGAAGACCATTACTCCTCGTTTTCCCCAAAGGTGCCCTGGTGAACAGTTGTTTGCCAAGCCCTTGATATATTCCCCTGATATGGTGGTAAGCTGCTACCAAGGCCCCTCTTATCCTTCTCTTTTTTTGGCTGAAGA